GATGAGCATCGCCTGTTTTTGTGTGTCGTGTGTGTGTGTGTGTGTGTTGGCGCTCCTTTGTGTGTTGGCGCTCGTTTGTGTGTCACTTTTTGTGCGCTGATTGCGTCCTCTGGTTTCTGTTCTCATTCCAACTGGTATCAGCTGAAAGGCATCTTCTCCGTTATCAGCCCCCTCATTTTAATTGCAAATGCAGCTAGCGTGTTAGTGATTAAATGGAAAATTGCACATTAATTGATGAGAGCGGAGATAAAGCAATTCCAATTACCAGACAGTATTTTAGGCAGCCTCTCAAGTTGAGCCATTCCTCGAAGGAACAAACGACCAAATGCCAAATCCGAGCAGGCAATTGTGCATCCGTAAATATGCACACTGAGACACAAATTGCGCGCACAGACACATGCCTCACAATGGCCGCTGAGGTGTGAATGTACATACAAGAAATCACAATATTGGATTTCAGCACAGCAAAATAAAATCCTTCTGTAATCTCAAATTGAAAAAAAGCCCATAACCGTGTTCTCGCTACTCTGTTTGAACTCAACAAAGGTGAACAGCTTCACAACAGGTTGTGAAACCCATTTTGAGAGCAGATCCCGTGCTTGTCCCCTCAACAAAGGCCTTTTTTATATATTTTTTTTATTGCATCGTTCGTAATGCGAATCAATTGAAAAGTGCCCGTGGCCACAATCCAAATTCAAAAGCGGGCACAAAGTGGGAAAAGAGAGGTAGGCAAAGAAATTATTCCAACCGACATCAAAGGGCTTTGCAAGTTTGAATTTCAGGGAGATATATACTCTTTCATTGGATTCTTTGCGGCCAGAAACATTTCTATTCAGGGTTCAATTATTCCGGCTATTCACGGGTACATGAAGTGCAACTGCCGTATTGATGTGAGGCCGGTCGGAGGTTGCTGGTTCAGCTCCTCCACCTGCAGAATTGACTCTACAGCGTGTTTCTGGTCATGTGACGTGATAGCTGCCGGCGGCACTTTGAGCTGTAAAGACTTTCTTTGTGCGCTTCGGTTTGAAGGTGAACGTATTGAACAGCACCGACCTCCCAGTGAACACGGAACTCTGTCTATAGACAAGAAACGAGACGTATTGGAGAACAACCTTTTTTTTTTTTTTTTTTTTTTTGGAACGTTTGCATGCCCTTGATGAGACACACATCGCTCAGGCAGGAGTTGTTGCACTCGGGAATATACTTTTCAACAGATGAGAGACTTTGTTCTCTTTTTAAAAGAGCATTTGGTCGTTCTGAAGCGTGTTGAGGCTAAAATCTCACCCAGGCTATGGGATTTTTTAGGTCTGTTTTCTTGACCTGCTTCTAGCTTAGCTGCACATCCGAATTCATTTGTATTTCTCCAAATAGTGTCTTAAAGAAAGTAGAACACTGTTTTCTCGCAGACCTTTAAGACTTACTTCATATTATCCCACTTGAAAATACATTAAATGGCAAAACAGCTTCTTTGCCGTTGATCTGTTAGCATGCTAGCTCCATGCTAGCTGCATTCTAGCTGAGTGCACCTAGCTTGCTGATGGAGCCATCCTCATTTTGCTTTTAAAATATATATCGCCTCATGATAGTTTTCACATGTTAAATGTAAAACTATTAAACATTCTGAATAGTGCTGCTAATCAATGTCTGTAGCGAAACGTTACGATTTTTTTGTATGCTAGTAAATGCTTTCGGCGAAACACCACAAGTTTGAAAGTCAAAAACTACTTTTGTCAGCATGAATACAGAAAGAAACGACCATTTAAAAGTACGCGTGTCTATCAGCCAAGCATTTATTCAATTTATTTATTTGTTTATTTGATAGGGACAAGTACGGTTCATGAATCATGTCACACACTACAACATTTTAGCTAAGGCTAATTCTCATTGCCTGTCCCCAGTTAGGCTTTTACACATCAGAACCGAAGTTAAGCTGGTCGAGCTAAGTGAAACTCCA